GCCCACCGCCTCAAACCTATCTCCACTTCCCCTTCTACATCACACGGGCCAACCAGGGTGATTAGCTTACAATTACATACCTTGACTTGGAGTGTCCTCTCTCCATCGTACAACTTCTCCAACACTCCCCTCGTCATGATGGTATTGGAACTCCCGTTATCTACCAGGCATCGCACTCCTCCCACCTCTATTATAGGTAACCAGCAGCTTTTACCTCTGATATTATAACTTACTAGCGTGCGGTCACCCCTCGCCTGACACTCTCCTCAGATCCTCTCCACGGCTTGCCGACGTCCACTCCTCCCGCTACTTCTTCCTTGACTCCTCTCGTTCTCCCGGCCTGCTGGGTGCTCTATCTCTTCTTCTGTCTCCGTGGCCATGGATTCCTCCGACGAGTCTCTTGATGACTCACTCCTCCTTGCGTGTATCTTTCTTCTCCTCAATTCCTGGGCATTTACCTCCATCGGCTCAAACCTCTGTGAGCCTCTTCTGGAATATATATACGGACATTGCCTCGCTATGTGTCCCTCAGTCCCGCACTCAAAACATTTCGTGCGGGGACACTGCGCCACCAGGTGTCCGCTCTTTCCGCAACCGTGGCATTTCCTGTCCTCTCTCCGTTGGCTACCCCTTGCTCTACCCTGTCCTGGTCTTCGTTCAGCTCCGGTGGTCTTTTCTCTCCCGTTGTATGCGGGCTCTCTCCTTCTCCAGGTCGTTGGTGAACTTCTAGGTCTCCTATAGATCACTCTGTTCCATCCTGGTTCCTCCCCCTCTAACCGGGCTTCTTCATCTCGAGCACTGGAATCTACCATGTCTTGGGCGCATTCAATAAAGGAACGTTCCCGGGGTAAGCCATCTTTCTTTCCAGTTTCTTTCGCCACTTGCACCTTCAGTATGGTGGACAAAAAGGCCATCTTCGCTTCGACCTCCGGAGCTCCAGCTGTCTCCCGCAACTTCTCGGTGATCCGGTTGTAGTGAGCTACGAGTGTTGCCGCATACTGTCCGTTGGACTGCCGTGAAGACTTCACCTCGCGGAACATCTGATAGATGTCCTCTTCTGTAGTCCATCTGCCACCGCCGTAGGCTTTCTTCAGTCTCTCCTTGACCGTTTCCCACGGCGTCTCTTCATCTGCCTGGATGTGGTTCAGGATACTCCGTTTTGCCCTGCATACAAGAGCCGCCTTAAGGGCCTCCGCATCCCCAGCGTTGACGAGGTTCTCATCAATCTTTGCATTGATTCTAGTCGATCTCCACCCTTCAAAAAATGATTGAGCTCACCTATTTCTCCAGTGAAGCGCTCGAGATCGGATATAGCCTCCCTAAGGTCCTGTGAAGTGGCTACCCGGATTTTCATCCATTCTATCTCATTTGCATGCGCCGCGGCAGAGGTTCCCTGCGGTAACGGAGGGATCTCTGGCACATTCATGGGAGCCGGCTGCCTTAAGACAAATTCAGGCATGCTCGTAACGGTTCTCCTCTGGTTTTAAAAAAACGTACCTCTGCACTCTCACCGTCCCGGGTTTCGGCACCAGTTAAACGTTGCGGACTTTAAACACTTAAAAAAAAGAGTAAAGGTTTAACAAATAACACGCATGAAGTCGGAAACAAGACTGCTTTATTGCTCCTTATAATCTCCTATATATACATTCTGAGTTGTTTACATAAATGCTTTTGGTATTAAAGCTAATACTGTCCCGCTCCGTACCTTAACTTATATATATATATATATATATATGATATATGATATATATACATATCGTTTACTAATCTATTATTATATTATATTATATTAGTCATACTTAATGCTGTGGACATTGTTAATGTTATGTTTGAATGCAGTACTAGACTCAAGATCTAACATTGTTAATTATACCATTATATTTATTTCTACAGGAATTTCCTTAGACAAATAAAATAAACTATCTATCTATATATCTGGTCATGGTCGAGAGAAGTGGAAGGAAAATCTGAAGCATAATTTTCCTTGAGGAAACTGAAATTTTTAGAGAACAAAAAAACTGGAACAACAAAATAAATTAAATAACTACCATCAGGTATAACATTCTTACTGTCATCAAATATTTGTTTGAAAAGTTCCTAGAAAAAAATTACGACTTTTTGTATCACTTCTTCCAAAACGTAAATAAGTAAACTTACATTTATACATAAATGACAATACTAAAAAACAATTACAAATAACTTCATGAGTGTTTGGATGATAATTTTAATAAGTTCTTCAGATTTTAATTTATTTCTTTGGAAATCTGCCAATCTGTGATTTACACAGCTCCACTTGAGATGTTGTTAGGATTGAAGTATTCAAGCTTCCACTCAACCCACATCTTGAGAATACTAGATATGTAATAAACTTAAGAACTCTTAAATCATGACGAGTGGAATTTTATTAGAAAATATGATAAAATTGCAGGACCAATATGTAATATTGATGAGTCCAATAAGTTTTATAAAAAATCTTTTTATATCGTAAGAGGTGTTCGATTAACTAACTTTTAAGAGACGTAGGCAGTGCAGTAGCACTACAATAAAGTCCGTGTTTACTATGTTGTGATTCCACTCACAAAAACAGGAAATTTAAGTTTAGAATATTTTTGTTACGGAAGTTTTTTATTGAACCGGAAGTGATTACCAAATAAATGATGAAGTACGGTCATTTATATTACAGCTTGTAAACTAAGAGGCAAAGTTTGATTCGAACAAATAATATAATTCCTTTTTGATGAAACTAATTAAAAGGCTCTGTCCTCATAGAAAGCGGCTACTTTATAGAAATTATTATTTTTTATAAATTTTCTTTTACTTTTTTTCATCACCCTCTTACTCCTAAATACTAAATAATAAAGGAAAGATAAAAAATCGGTGGGATGTACAGTAAAAAAAATATCAATTATGAGAATGAAGAACTATAAGGGAAAAAAGTACAATTCATGGACGAGAATTAACCGGTATAAGTTAACAAAAGCGTTTAAAAATAAGCTAAGATAAAACAATTTCATACTGAATGTTATATTGAAGTTCTGAATCCTGTACCATGTACAAGTATAAAAAAAAAAATATTATTATGCTCGCGGAAAGTCTAATAATATTGACATTTTCTGAAATTTACGTTAAATTATTTATCAGTTTTCCAGAAACTACTTTTTCAGTAGAATGAACCAAATTTCAAATTTATTAAGTTAAAAGACTTAAATTATAATCTTATTTGACGCATATATATATATATATATATATATATATATATAAAAGCGTTTATATACATATATAAAAAGCGTTTAGGAGTTAAAACAAGAATTTCTAATGATTGAAAAAAAAAATTGAATTTTATAAAAAGATATTTCCCGTTATCTACCACACTATAATTTATTTTTGTATATTCATTTGTTCCTCCCGCGGGCTCATTAATTAACATAATAACAGACACCAAACCAAATTTGATCCTTGATGTATGAAACGTAAAACGCGAGTGACAATTTTCGATTCTGAGCACAAAATTTTTTTTAACGAATATAATGCTTCCCTATCTTTGGTGGTGAAGAAGCAATAGCAGAGGGCAATATAATTTTATAATTATACTAATTATTCATAAACAGATAGTTATTACTTGTTTCTCCTGCTTCAGAACACAAACTGAGAATACGGAATTTTTTCGCATTATAGTATTTGATAATGAATAAAGCTCGGGTTTGATATAAACCCATGTTCTATTCATTATTAAAAAATAGATTATGAATATAGAGAGAACCAAATCGCTTTGGAAGATATTTCATGTTTAAAATAATTTGTGTTGGGCAAAATGTAATATAAAATTAGGGTATTGGCCAAAAATGAAATATTGGCCGTAACCGATGAAAATCACTTCTTTCCATTTTGTTTAATCTTACAATATAAGGAAATAAATACTTAAAAAGTATCTAAAGTGATACATATTTAATTTGTATAGTTTTTATCACATAGTGCAATACCCTCTTATTTATAGATTATAGATATCTATTTATTTTCAAGTCTCGCTTTGTATTTATATTGAGCTCATAGACTGGACTTAGGCCCTTTTAACGTCTAATGCAGTGCTGGCCTAACGCCCATATATTTATTTGAAAAGTCATTTAATTTTGACTCGCATTTGCTCAAAACCTGTGCAATGAGAACCGGTTTCCTTCTTGCATATGAAAAGTAAGGTCGTCGGAAAAGGTTTTGTGATGTATGCCGCACCAGATTTTTATGTTACAGTATGTTTATCAGAAATTAAATGTCGATTACCTTGGTAACAATGAATTTCAAGATCGTAGATAACAGTATGAACATCGGAGGATGAATAGAACATTCTTTAGATTTTTTTGTTGATGATTATATATATAATGATTGAATTCTACAACTGTATTCGTTGATTTCCCAGTATAAACTTTGACTTGTACTCTAATCTAGATTAGAGTGATCGACTTTAGGCTTATAGTAACTGTTCATATTTATCTTATAAAAAGATTTAGTAGTTAACCACTGTCTATGATATTTGTTGGCCAATTTACTTTGTATTCCATCACATATTCTATCTAATAAATATTTTTCCTTTAAGTTCACAAGAGTTTAAGACAGAAACTTGGACACGGATGATGCTGACTATGACTTCAACTATAATATTATCTCTCTTATGATTAGATTCTACAATAAGTAATACTACAGTAATTTTTTTTATTTTTTTTATTATTTATTTTTTTATTTGAAAATTAAAACATTCTGCCGCATTGGATGGCAACTACAATAATAAAGAAGGGAGTGATATTAAGAATGTAGCGAATTCTTTTATAACATGCATATATATAATAAATGGTTTTCATTGAGGGATCATAAGTCATCTGTTTATGCTCTTTTTCAATAAGGGTAGTACAGTTTCCTCAAAAAAGTTGTCGACATCTTTGCCGTCGTACAGAGGGTTGGAAGAGTAGAAGTCTACTTTGGCCAACCTCTCATAGCTTAGATCGTCCAAGTTGACGGAGCAGCTCGTAGTGTTGTGGACAGTGTAGGCAAGGTAGAGGGAGTTGTCCCGAATTCTGTAGGAGGAAGACATCGCGTTCCATTTGATTTTCAGTAAGGTGAAGGTTTGTTGGAACAAGCCCAGGCCATAGTAGAGGTCGAATGTGTAATCTTTACCAAAGACTTTAACAGTATAATTGTCGGACGTCTTTCAAAGATACTTAAATTATCAGATTTTTTTCTTTTATAGATAAATACGGCAGATAGTCTGAAACAGAAGCCCATCTGCTGGGAAAATGCCCCAACAACTCCTTTCTCATAACACGTCGTCACCAAAGCGTGATTTTCGAGTTGATGAGGCTCCTAAGGGAAAGTAAATTCACCTGATTTGACGTGCTTTACTGAATCGATAATGAAGGCTCTACCCGATATGCGGATGTTGCTGCATGTCCCAAGACAGGATCTTGGATCCAACTGTCCGCTTTGAGAGCAATGTCTACACATTTGTTTTTTGTTATTGTTCTTTTCTCATTTTAATTTCAACTACCTCTATAGCACCCATCAAAACTAGCCTTGAAGAAATAGGACGCAGCCTCAGAAATATTTCATCTGTTCTACATCCAAGGGAAAAAAATCTCCTACTCTTATTTTTTGTCGACCTTAAACCAACCAAAAAAGGTACGGAAATAATTCAAGTGAAACGACTGATATACTCTGTTGTACGTTTCGAAGTACCGAGATATCCAATCCCTCGGACAGCGGTTTATTGCTGGAGGAGACTACAATGCAAAACACCAACGATGGGGTTGTCGAACACCCAACTCTCGTGGTAACATCCTATATCGTGTCTCATCTTCCAATAATTATTCTATCCTTTCGCCCATGAATCCTACCTATTGGCCACCATCCTTCAAAAAACGCCCTGATATCCTGGACATATTTATCACCTCCCAGTTATCCTCTTCCCATGTCACAATTCAATCCCTGGATGACCTTTCTTCAGATCATAGTCCAGTTCTGCTTTCATTGCACTCAACCTTCGCTCCTAAGCTCTCTTCCCCTCCTACTTTGATTAAAGGTCTAGTAGACTGAGACAATTTCGTGATGATTTGGAAAACAAACTGTACTTGAAAATTCCGCCTAAGGCAAGACAAGACATTGACAAAGCCATAGAAACTGTTAGCTCATCAATAGCAATCAGTATAAATGATAATACTTGCCACCACATATTCGAATCATACTAACAGAAAAACGCAGAGCAAGATCGAAATGGCACAGGACCAGATATCCTACAGATAAAATTCACTATAACAATCCTTAATCCAAATCACCTTGAATGTATGAAGCAGAATTGGATATCCCACTCCAAAAAAATCCTCCACCTAAAGCATTTCATCCTTCAGAAATAGCCAATATCATTCACACCTTACCCCCCGCAAAGCTTCTGGCCGCGACCTAGTCAAATCCCAGATCTTAAAACTGCTTCCTCGGAAAGCCACCCTGTTCCTTACCTACATATATAATGCTGTACTCCGATCCATATATTTTCCTGATTAATGGAAACTATCTATTTATAAAGTGATACATAAACCCAAAAAACCGCACGAACACCCATCCTCTTATGGACATATCTCTCTATTAACCATCATGGGCAAAATTCTGGAAAAGCTCACCCTAAAACGCCTGTACCCCATCCTAGATTCTAATCATATAATCCCTGATTACCAATTTGGATTCCACACATCCCATTCCACTATTCCGCAATGCCATCGTGTGGTAGACGTAGTCTCCCCTGCATTGGAGCGCAGAATATATTGCACATGAGTCTTTCTCGAAGTTGAGCAGGCGTTTGATAGAGTCTTGCCACTGGGACTGCTGTACAATAACATTTCCGGAAATCAGTTTTCAATCTGAGAATTGGATTCTCATCATTCTATCTTTTCGTTATATATAAAATTAATTCATACCTTGTAACTACCCATTTTTTATTTATACGAACTATGAGAGACTGTAATTAATTTTCAAATATTGAATGACAATTATTTATGCATTACATTTCTGCAAGACAATTGTTAAAGCTGCAGTGGAATGACTAGGTAGGATTAAACTCATATGGACAAGAACATGGTTCTGACATTTAAGAGGAAAAAAATATTAAAGAAAACTAATAATCAATTAGTCAAAACCAAGGATATCAAAGCACTCTATTATCTTAGAGCTTCTCGAGTCGATGATGTTTCCAGAACCGGCGATATTTCTGTCTGATAAGGGCACTCGATGTCAGAGATAAGGGATGGGACGGGTTTAAATATCGAGACGTGGGTGGAGAGCTCCATCTTCTACAACAGCAATCATGAAGTCCTGTTACCTCTTCTTGGTCCTGGCCGTGGCTGCCGTCAACTCCAAAGTAATCGACATCAACGGATTGGTCGATATTGGCTTGTTCAGCAGCAACCAATTCATCCGTGACCATAGATTCACCTCTGCTTTTTTACCTGAGTTTCGTTTAACTTCAGATGTAAGTATTTATAGTAATCTATCATACTCTAACGAATCAATTTATATAAAACTATATAAATATTATAAATAAAAAGTACGTGATAAACCACAAAAAATTAGGACAATACATTATAATTACATACCATAATTAATTTAAATTTATAATTTTCTTCCGTAGATGATCGGTAATCCTTTTTAGTAAAATATCTATATATGTATATTGATTTTGTTTACTTATCATCAGCCTTTGCCTTATTTTCAGGTTTCGTTTGCCGAATCAGTGGTCGTTGGATTCGACTCTGCAAAGAGGACCGACAATTGCACAATTAAAGTCAATGGTAACGATATCACAATCGACCTCCACTATGGCCTGGGCTTGTTCCAACAAACCTTCCCCTTACTGAAAATCAAAGGGAACGCCATGTCTGCCTCCTACAGGATCCGGGACAACTCCCTCCACCTGGCCTACACTGTCCACAACACTACGAGCTGCTCCGTCACCTTGGACGATCTAAGCTATGAGAGGTTGGCCAAAGTAGACTTCTACTCTTCTCTTCCTTTTTTCGACGGTAAAGACGTCGACAACTTTTTTGAGGAAACTGTACTACCCTTATTCAACAAGAGCATAAACAGGGCTGAGGTAGAAAGAAGTCTCCAAGCGATCTGTAAAAAACAACCCAAGGACATAGCGAACCACTTGCCACTGGTTCATATGGCTGTAGTAAATCATGCAAAAGGTCTAGATATGCTGTGAAGCCGATTGTGAATTATGATCCCTCAATAAAAACCATTTATAATTAATTTGAAATATACATGTTATAAATGAATTCGCTACATTCTTAATATAACTCCCTTCTTTATTACTGTAGTATTACTTTTTGTTGAATCTAATCATAAGAGAGATGATAGTATTGTTGAAGTCAGAGTCACTCAGCACCATCCGTGTCCGAGTTTCTGTCCTAAGCTCTTTAGAACTTAAAGGGAAAATATTTATTAAATAGAATATGTGATGGAATAAAAAGTAAATTGGCCAACAAATATCATAGACAGTGGTTAACTACTAAATCTTTTTATAAGATAAATATGAACAGTTACTATAAGCCTAAAGTCGATCACTCTAATCTAGATTAGAGTACAAGTCAAAGTTTATACTGAGAAATCAACGAATACAGTTGTAGAATTCAATCATTATATATATATATAATCACCAACAAAAAAATGTAATGATTGTCTGATTCTTCCTCCGATGTTCATACTGATATCTACGATCTTGAAATTCATAGCTTCCATGGTAATCGACATCTAATTTCTGATAAACATGTTGTAAGTTTTTTACTTATACTTTTTCCAATTCTCGACTTTTTTTAGAATATAGACTAAATCATTTAACATACAAAAACAGCAAAAGGAATATGATCTCGAATATAAAAATAATTAACATGAACATAAAAATCTGGTGCGGCGTGCATCACACAACCTTTACTTACCACCTTACTTTTCATGTGCAAGAAGCGAAGGGATACACATTGCACAGGTTTTGAGCAAATTCATGTGAAAATTAAATGAACTTTCAAATAAGTATTTGGGCGTTAGGCAAAGAAAGCCTCGCACTGCACCGGACGATAAGAGGGCGTAAGTCCAGTCTATGAGCTCAATATAAATACAAAGAGAGACTTGAAAATAAATAGATATCTATAATCTATAAATAAGAAGGTATTGCACTATGTGATAAAAATTATACAAACTGAATATGTATCACTTTACACACTTTTTAAGTATTTTTATTTATTCAATTATTTTTTAACTAAAAGCTTATTTTACCTAATAGATTCTATAAAAAAAGGTTAAAACAGCTTGAACTATCAGATTTTTCTTTTGTATAAAATTGTAAAGAATTGTATCACTTTCTAATACTATCCCCTTTTCTAAGGCGCCTGTACCAGAAACAACATTTATTTTTATTTATTTTGGTTACAAAAAGTAACCGATCTATTTAAAAATGAATGAATTTTAGATCCATAATATAAATAAGCAATATACCACAGACCCTCTTGATATGGTATACTATAATTGATTTATAATATTACTATGAAATATCTTTTCAAAGGGTATTGTGCTACCAATTTACTTTACAAAATCGGTTCAATATTAAAAAATCTGGTGCGCGCAACACACAACTTTCACTTACTCTTTGAACTTTGAATAAAAATTATTTTCTGGCCATGTTAGGCTATTATAAAATGTTTTAAATTGCATTTTAAACTCAGCTAAAGCTAAAAAAACACAAATGCTTTTAAAATAACAAAAGTCCTATTTATTATATCACCGGTTGATTATGGATTGTACGATTCGTTGATTATGGATTGTTCGATCCATTGATTATGGATTGTACGACTATAAGTCATTAAACTGTTATTTTCCATTGCAAAGTTTATTAAAACGGAATTAAGAGATTTGCAGTGTCTGTCATAGACAGGTCAAAAGTTGTCACACTAATTGTAAGTGGATTCTGTTGGAATATCGCAAAAAAATTATCAAACTATTCACTAATTTTTTTTGTTTCACTAACACTTTTTTAATTTCACTAACACTTTT